TCGGGTGGGTCGTGGGCGGCTTGCGGCTCCTTTCGGGCAGGGCCCCGGGGCTCCCTGCCGAGCTGACGGTGCTGCTGGCTGGCGAGGCAAGGGGCGCCTTCCGCTCCAGGAACGGTGGGTAGGAAAACTCCCGGTGGATCTCCGGCCGGGGCCGGGGCACGGCCACATTCTTGCTGTTGTTGAGGTGGCGGGCAGGAGCCTCGCCGTGCTGGGCAGAGTCGTTCTCGTACAGGGTGTGGGAAAGCTGGGTCCGGCCACGCCGCGCCACCTGCTTGGCCCGGACCAGGGCGTGCGTCACCGTGATGAGCAGGACGAGGATGCCCGAGGACAGGATGCAGGCGCCGGTGATGCCCGTCTCCATCTCAAAGAGCAGCAGCATGTAGATGGCGAGAGCTGGAAGGGAGGGAGAAGGTGTCAGCGCAGAGGCTGCCACAGCCTTGCTGCTTGCCAAGGCGGTTGGCCACCAGGTTCTCCAGGGGTCGCGTGGCAAACTCCTGTTTCCCCACCAAGGGAATCACCTGGCCCCAGGGAGCCCGGGGACACCCTGCAAAGGGAAAATCCTTTGCTCCTGGTCTGCAGGCAGCGGCTTGGTGCGAGGGGCAGGACGCAGCCTGGATCAGACGCGCGTGCTGCCTGCACCGGGGCCGTGCGCCCCAGGACCAGGCTGTTGGGGTTTGCAGGGGAACGGCAGCACTTGCCTGTTAAGTAGATGGAGACTCCACAGCAGAACAAGCCGACGGCCACGTGGCGAACGGTCCGGCTGTCCAGGAGGAACCAGTCGGCCCTGCAAGAGGAGAACCATCATGGTCTGTGTGCAGGGCAGGCTTTCTCCCCTTCCCCTGCCCATTCCCTCAGCCGTCGCTGTGTCGGCTGAGCGTCAGCCCAAAACGCAACCCCCTCGCAATGTCGGACAGCCCTAAAAGGGTTCAGCCCTGAGCGGGCATCAACCCCCTTTGGCCAAGGGGGCCCATGGTGACCACCGCCTGCCTCCCAGCCACCTCTGCCAGGGCACGGCTGGCTCAGACCCAGCCCCGCTAACAAGGTGCATCTGCAGAGCTGGCGAGCGGGGCCCTGGGGGGTTTCTGATGGGAGCACTGGTATTGCTGGGAAAGGGGCCGTCTCCGCCACGTTGGTGGCTAGCACCTTTCTGAGCTGTCACGGTCTTTCCTTCCAACCCGCCTGTGTTCGTGCTCCAGCTTCCCAGCTCGAGACGGCTTTGAAACGCAACAAAAGCATTTGGAGCACAGGGAGTCCAGTGGAGACGTCACCGAGCCACGGAAACCAAACGCTTCCATGAAACCGGGCCACGTTTTTATCTGTGCCTTGGGGTCCCGGCCGGCCTTGCTGCATGGGGACGCTCCGTCTCCGCCTGGGACGGGGTCCTGTTTTACCAGCTCAGGTTTTCAGAGGCGGGCAAGTTTCAAGGCTTTTGAATGGCGATTTCAAGGAGCGGAGAGGCAGGAGCGGGGAGGCCACGTGAGGGCACCGGTCTCTCCTTCCTTTAGCAAACCCCTGGAGAGGGAAGAGCCTCAGTGAGTCAGGCAAGGTCCCGTGTACTTTCATCCTCTGGGTTCAGTGTCTCTGCATGGCTCGGAGCCCGGGCCCTGTGTCTCCAGGCGCGTCCTGCAAGAGCTCTGCCTCACGTGTGCACGTATCCCAGGCCCTGCTCCTTTCTCCGTCCCCATTTCGTGCTCCGCACAAGAGCAGCTGAACCCTCCCGCTCTGACCGTTCAGCTCGCTCCAGCCGGCGAGGCCGCGCTGCTCCTGCCCGCACACGCCGTCCCTTTCGGTCTGCCCCAGCCCACCTCGGCAGAAAGTATTCATTGCTCCAGAGACCAGGAGAGCTCAATGAATGGCCGTTCTTGTCCACCGCTGCCCTAGATCATTTGTTTCCTCACTGTGACCTCGAGGACCTCTGCGCTCCAGTTCTGGCCGCGGAGGCCGCTCGTGCTGACGGGAGCCGGCGTCCCGGCTAGTTGCGTGAGCGGGGCCTGGTCGTTTGCAACACAACTGGCCTCGCAAGCACCGGGGCAGGGGCTGGCGAATGCGGCCCTCGGTTCGGACCATCAGCCGCTACTACGAGGTGCGGAGCCGGCGTCCCCCTGGGGGGAAGCCCCGGATCCATCCCCAGCACCGCGTGCTTGCCTGGCAGGGAGCCCCACGACCTTGACCCCAGGGTCAAAGGGAGCTCTGCTTCCAAAGGCCAGGCAGCCCCTGGCTTCCCGCTGGCAGCATACGGCCAGATCGTGGCTGCGGCAGGGTGGACGTCTCCGCACGGGGAGCGGGGCCAGACCCAGCCCAGCGCCTTGCACCATGGACCTGCCTTCAGCTGGGAGCCTCGCCCTGGGGGGCAGGAAGAGCAGGGCCTGTGGAGGGGCTGGCCCAGGGACCGGGAGAGGAGCAGCTAGCTCTAGGGGATGGGGCTGCAGCGCCTCCTTTGCTCTCCCGCTGGGGAGAAGCCGGGTGCCCCGAGGGCCAGGCCGTCGGCGGGCAGCGGCACCGATCCCCGTACGTGTGCCCCGGCCTGGGGCTGCAGGCAAGGCAGAGCCAGCCGGAGAGGAGCCCCCAGCCCTGGCGGTGCAGAGGGACGAGGCTGCCCCCGCTCTCTCCTGGCCCATCTGTTGTTGTCCTTAAACACGTCGCTGCCAGGCGTCAGGAGCCGCTAATAGACCTTGGCTGAGCTCCCGCGCCGTGCGGCTCGTTGGGGAAGAGAAGCCACTTTGTGTTATTAATTACATGATTGGGGGATTAGCGGGAGGGGAGGACCGGGCTCCCGGCTGGGGCTATTGAGCGCCGAGCTGGAAACTGGAGCAGTAATTCAGGGTGACAGGCCCAGCGTGGGAAAGCGCCTGGGACGTGAGCGGATCCCTAATGACCGGGGGCTGGCGGCTGGGACGGGGCTGAGGCACAATAGGGAGGTGCCGTTCAGGGCTCGCCGGGGCCAAGCCGCCCCCTTAACTCTTTCCTGCCGAGATGTCTGTACAAGAGCAGCATCGGCCGCTGCAGGGGCTGGGCGCCGTTTGCAAATGGACAGCATCGAAATGGTTGGACGGCTCCCCACATGCACAGGCACATACGCACCTGCGTGGCAGGGGGACCCGATTCCCCCCCAACATTGCAGGTGGGAGCCAGAGGTGCAAACCAAGTGTCCTGCACCGGGTCAGCTAGTGAAAGCGAGGGCAGAACCCGGCCCGCCGGGGACAGGCTGCCTCTCCGGGGCCTGTTGTCCTCTGGGCTCACGTGGGGACTCTGGTGGAGTCGTGGCAGCCCCCACGGCCCTGAGGAGCTGGGTGAGGCGGTGGTGCAAACTGCTCGGGGCAAATCATTCTGGGAGCAACTTTCTTCACCCCGAATGGGCCAAGGTGCCCTGTGGGGAGCAGGGACTTGCCCTGCCTCTGTCAGCGGCATCAGACTGCCCTCTGCCACCAGGAATCGCCAGCCGCCCCCAACCTCTTGCACTAACCAAACTCGTGGCACCTTTCTCGGCTCACCCGGGAAGACAGGATTCCCACCGGCTGAGCCCTTGCTAATGCAACGGCTTTCTCTTTGCAGCTCAGACACAGGATCCAGCCACGGTCTCGCTGATGCTTTGCACGGAGGGCAGGATGCTACTCCACTCGTCCGTGCTCCCCTGCGCACACATCTCCGGACAGCACGTGCTCTGCACTCAGGCAGTGACTGCCACAACCCCCAGGCTCTCTACTGAATCACAGCCCCCACCCCATACATGTGACTGGCGCCCTCCCTCCTGCATGCACGAGCTTGCTTGGAGCCGTCTAATTAGCTGGTCGGCCCGCTTCAGCTCTGCCAGCATCCCGGAGGTGACTGGCAGGACTCTGGACAGAAGTGCAGCATGCGAGAGCCCAGGTTGGCACCAGGTGTCGAGCCGAGTTTCCAACGGGTCGGGAATATTTCACTCCAACAACCCTGCAGCAGGAAGCTCCGTTTCTGCAAAGTCCAAGGTGTCCACGGGACAGGTCTGCAGAATCAGACATGCTCGCTTGGGAGGACTGAAGTGAGACGCTAGTTCTGGGCGAGTCGGACCCGCGTTGGACTGTTCTGGGCTGTTGAACCAACTTGAGTCCATTTACCACCAAGCTGGATCTCAGCCATGCAGTGCCCTGTGCCATGGGCATGGGACCCACTTGTGATCTGTGCTGGGCTCCCCAAGTGGCCCCATCTCCCGTGGGGCTGTGCACCTGCCCCTGACAGAGCTGTGCAGGGCGCCTGTGGCAGAAATGCCACCGTGGGTGCCCCTCTCCAGAGACCCGTCTCAGCCAGCCTGAGAGGCTGGTGTTGAATCCCTCAGGGCGGGGATCTCCCACCTTGTCTGCATGACAAAAGCCTGGCGCCTGGGAGGCGATGCTCTGGTCACCTGGGCAGGTGGGGGGGTCAAGGCAACTGCCTCCGGTACCGCGTTGCGTACTCCACTAGAGTCAGTATGTATTTCTTCCCCCTACGAGTCCTATGCTTCAGCGGTCCCACAATGTCCACGGCCACCCTGTGGAAGGGTTGGTCGATGATCGGGAGGGGCTGCAGGGGAGCCCTTCTCTTGTCCCCGCTTTTGCCCGTCCGCTGGCATGTCTCGCAAGATTTGCAATAGTCCGTCACATTCTGGGCAATTCTGGACTAAAAAAAGTTCACCTGTAATCGCTGGCGTGTCCGTTCCCTGCCCATGTGACCTGCACACGGTAGATCGTGAGCCATGGCAAGCAATTGCTGTCTGTATTTTCGGGGTACTATGAGCTGGCGCTGGGGCTCCCAGGTCTCGGCATGGTTCTTCGGCACCCACAACCGATAGAGAAGCCCCTTATCCCAGACCACCTGTTCCCTCTTGTCCGGAGTGAACTCAGTCTCTTGCTCCTGAGCCATCTGCCGGAGTCCCTCCAAGCTGGGGTCCACCCGAACCTCCCGCTTGAACTCCTCTTGCCCAGCTAGGCAATCAGCAGGGAGTGCACACTCACCCACAGGGACTTCCTGGTCTCCTCCCCGTTAGTGTCACCTCCCTCTCTCAACGCAGGAGCGCCCCCTACTGGCCCGCCACAGCGCCGAGTCACTGAGCCACGCCCCGATGCATTTCAGAGCTCCATATTTGCAAAAAACAGTTATTTTTGCCTCCCAAGCCCGGCAAGGCCAACTCAGCCCTGCACTAAGGATGCCTTCAACTGCCCCAAGTCTGGGAGGGATCGAGAGCAGGAAGGTGTTTCCAGAAGTGTTGGTGCAGCAGTAAACCCGCTAGTAATGATTAAGTCGACGTGTCGCGGGTAACAACCCAGGGCCCTGCCTCAGTCTGTTCCCTGCAGGTCACCTTTGAATGCCCTGGGACGCAGGCAGAAGAGCCTGGCAAGGGCCGGGGGGAAAG